TATTTCTAATTTTAAGGTTGTTTCGGAAGTTTGATTTTGATTTTTTTTTTTTTTTTTTTGTAGTACATAATATAATTTTTAAGTTGCAAATAAACATGTTTATTACCTCTGTAACGAATTTTTATTTATTTTACCTCTGTAACTCAAAATAAGTTAGAACGAATCTAGACCTCTACAAGTCGAATTTTTACTTAGAAAATCAGCGTAAGTCGAAATCCTCCATAAGTCGAAAACTTTATAAGTCGAAATATTTGGCGTCGCCCTTGAGGTTCGACTTACAGAGGTTCTACTGTATTATAATTATCATTAATCATATCCATAAACTGAGTGATTAAATTATTATAAATAATTTATTTCTATGAAAAAATAATTGTTTCACCTTTGGATAGAAAACTGTAATTTAAATTTTTAAAATTTCTTCTTTTAAAAAAAAAACGGCAATATATTATGGGGGAAGGAAATGAATTCATTAATTAGAAACTATAACATTCGAATAGATGTCTAGGCTAAAGAAGCGGAAATGTTTATGGTGGTGTGTCTGCGTTTGGGAAATAGAACACAAAGTTGAATGATGACCATTAAGGACCCATTAATTAATGTGCAATAAATTATGAAATAAAAAAAAAAATATTATACTTAACGTTAACCATATGCATAAACTGAGTGACTAAATTTTTATAAATAATTTATTTCTGTGAAAATATATTTGCTTCTCCTTTAGATAGAAAACAGTCATTTAAACTTTTAAGATTTCTTCTTAAAAAAAAAAAAAAAAAAAAAAAAAAAAATGCAATATATTAAATTATTTAATGAAAAGTACTAATGTTGAGTGAAAAAAATTTTCATATATCTTGGAATGGGAGAGATTTTTTTGCGTATTGATTTATGAGAAACATGTATTTTGGAGAATAATTTTCACAGAATAAAAATCCTATTGTAGAAGTATATTGTTTTGAAGATGTAATTAATAATGATATTGAAGTGATAATTAAAAATGCAAGAGTATCTCGTGAATCGAAATTTCAGGACTTTTCACCCGCCATTTGGGGAGTAAAGGGATATTGCGACCTTTCACCTTGATGATAGAGGGGGTTGGGGGTTGGGGGGTTGGGGGGGTTGGGGGGGTTGGGGGGGGAGAAAAGAATTCATTAGTTATAAATAACACAATCGCATAGATGCAAAGGGTAAAGAAGCGAAGACTTTTATGGTGATGCGTCTAGGTCTAAGATTGGGAAATTGAATACGAACAAAAAGATAAAGAAATGATCAAATTGAACAATGAATATAAAATTGTGCAATGAACAATGAAATAAAAAAAAAAAAAAAAGATAATATTATAATTTTCTTTAATCGTATGCATACACTGAGTGACTAAATTATTATAAATAATTTATTTCTTTGAATAAACTATTGCTTCTCCTTTGAGGATAAAACTTTAATTTAAACTTTTACGATTTCTTTTTTAAAAAATGCAATATATTATGGTGGCATAGAAATGAATTCATTAGTTAGAAATGATAACACTCGCACAAATGCATAGGCTAAAGAAGCGAAAATGTTTATGGTGGTGTGTCTTTGATTTGGAAATTGAACACGAACACAAAGATCAAATAATAACTCATCAATTGGTGTGCAATGAACAATGAAATAAAAAATAATATTATAATTATCATTAATCGTATGCATACACTAAGAGACCAAAATATTATAAACAATTTATTTCTTTGAATAAACCAGTCGATAGAATGTCATTTAAAATTTTTAAAAATTCTTCTATTTAAAAAAATTATATTAAATTATTTAATGAAAAGCACTAAAGATGAGTGAAAAAAATGTACATATATCTTGGAATGGGAGAGATTTTTTTGCATATTGATTTATGAGAAACATGTATTTTGGAGAATAATTTTCACAGAATAAAAATCCTATTGTTGTTGTTGTTTCTTATCCCACTTGGCTGGCCAAGCCCACGAGCCCATATGTTCTCATGATTGAAGGGGAAGGAAGCAGCTTCAGTTGTGATGGAGCACCCGTATGTAGAAGTCTGACTTTGGCTCCGTGACGCTCTTACAGTCATAGGAGACCTGGATCTAAGGCTTAAAGTGAATTCCGAACGAACCACTACAAACATCCACGGGCATCGCCGGGATTCGAACCCGATACCTGCGGTACCGAGAGCCAGAGCGCTAGCCACTCGGCCATCAGGCCCCTAAAAATTTTTGAATGCCAGCGGCACGCGGTGTTCCCAGGTGGAGTAAGTACTGATGACCACCTAAGTACTGATCGCGCCCAATGATGCTTGACTTCGGTGATCTAACGAGTATATTCAGCATGGTATGGCCGTTGGCAAATCCTATTGTAGAAGTATATTGTTTTGAAGATGTAATTAATAATGATATTGAAGTGATAATTAAAAATGCAAGAGTATCTCGTGGATCGGGATTTCACGACTTTTCCCCCATCATTAGGCGCGTAAAGGGATATGGCGGCCTTTCACCTTGGAGATAGAGAATGTGCGGGGTGGGGAGAAAAAAGAATCCCTTTGTTTGAAATAACACACTCGCGTAGATATGGCGGCCTTTCACCTTGGAGATAGAGAATGTGTGGGGTGGGGAGAAAAAGAATCCCTTTGTTTGAAATAACACACTCCCATAGATGCAAATCCATCGTGGTTTAGAAAAATCAGGAATTAAATGAAAAAAAAAAAAATTAAAAAATAAAAAGAGATAATTAAATAAAAACAAAGTTAAAGTTAAAAAATAAAAAAAAGAAAGCAAGACGAAAACACTACGAAATTGAGAAACCGCTGCTAGAAATGATGACTAAGGGATCACGTCAGGGTAGAACTCACTGTCAAAAAGAAAGCATGGCAACTGAGCCAATGCCCCAAATTTCCGAAAAATAAACAAACCGCTAATATGCAACCGCTATAAAAAAGCTCAACCATTTCTAACGCGCAAAATAGCCGATAACATAAGCTTCGCGGATATTATTACAAATAAAAATAGTACTGCTATAATAAACAACAATAACCCCGCCCCTCCTAAAGGAAACAACCTTAACTCCGCCCCGATTCTCTCGGACGCCGCTCTCCACGTATTCAAAATTCTATCGCAATTCGCTCACGATGATACTTTACACTTTCCTTCTCTATTAAACGCAATCAGATCGGCCTTGCCTACTCTTCAATTAATCCAAGACGATAACGAAAAAGCCATTACCATTTTCGAACATAACCACGCACATTGCTGTAGTTCACGTTAATGCCCGTCCTTCTCCCTAATTATCCCATATGGGTACTCTCATTTTGAGATTTTCTGCTTTCTTCTTTGCTTTTTCCGCCGTTTTAAAAATTTGACTTCTGACCAATCCCATGGGATTATTTAAACGCCGACCGTTTTTGTTTACATCTGCTCCCGCCGTTTAGCATTTTCTCCCCGACTTTCCTAGCCGATTGAATGCGCCCACAGGGCTCTGCGATCTCTTGCTTTTTTCCCCCTCTTTCTGCCCTTGCCTCTCTGAGAGTAAATAGGACACTGATTCTTAGAATCCAACTGTTCTAACTCACAACATCGTGCAAAGACTTCTTGACTAAATTAGTCCTTCACGCCTGAGCTATGGCTCATCCACAATTATTCTATTCTGTGAATCTTCTGAATTTTCATTTTCCTTTTCTGCAACTACCTTTCTGAAATTTATTTTTACCCTTTTACGATGGATGTGCGGGACTCACTGTCCCTAGAAATCCCAGAAAAACACAACCTTTGCCTTTGTCAACTGAGCCAGTGCGTCTAGGACAGGGATGGGTAAACTACGGCCCGCCGGAAGGTTCTATCCGGCCCGCGGATAGAATTTTAATTTGTTTGTCCGAGGAAAATTTAAAAAAATAGATATTTATATTACTTTTCGGAGAAAAAGAATTCATTAGTTATAAATAACACAATCGCATAGATGCAAAGGGTAAAGAAGCGAAGACTTTTATGGTGATGCGTCTAGGTCTAAGATTGGGAAATTGAATGCGAACAAAAAGATAAAGAAATGATCAAATTGAACAATGAATATAAAATTGTGCAATGAACAATGAAATAAAAAAAAGTTAATATTATAATTTTCTTTAATCGTATGCATACACTGAGTGACTAAATTATTATAAATAATTTATTTCTTTGAATAAACTATTGCTTCTCCTTTGAGGATAAAACTTTAATTTAAACTTTTACGATTTCTTTTTAAAAAAATGCAATATATTATGGTGGCATAGAAATGAATTCATTAGTTAGAAATGATAACACTCGCACAAATGCATAGGCTAAAGAAGCGAAAATGTTTATGGTGGTGTGTCTTTGATTTGGAAATTGAACACGAACACAAAGATCAAATAATAACTCATCAATTGGTGTGCAATGAACAATGAAATAAAAAAATAATATTATAATTATCATTAATCGTATGCATACACTAAGAGACCAAAATATTATAAACAATTTATTTCTTTGAATAAACCAGTCGATAGAATGTCATTTAAAATTTTTAAAAAATTCTTCTATTTAAAAAAATTATATTAAATTATTTAATGAAAAGCACTAAAGATGAGTGAAAAAAAAAATGTACATATATCTTGGAATGGGAGAGATTTTTTTGCATATTGATTTATGAGAAACATGTATTTTGGAGAATAATTTTCACAGAATAAAAATCCTATTGTTGTTGTTGTTTCTTATCCCACTTGGCTGGCCAAGCCCACGAGCCCATATGTTCTCATGATTGAAGGGGAAGGAAGCAGCTTCAGTTGTGATGGAGCACCCGTATGTAGAAGTCTGACTTTGGCTCCGTGACGCTCTTACAGTCATAGGAGACCTGGATCTAAGGCTTAAAGTGAATTCCGAACGAACCACTACAAACATCCACGGGCATCGCCGGGATTCGAACCCGATACCTGCGGTACCGAGAGCCAGAGCGCTAGCCACTCGGCCATCAGGCCCCTAAAAATTTTTGAATGCCAGCGGCACGCGGTGTTCCCAGGTGGAGTAAGTACTGATGACCACCTAAGTACTGATCGCGCCCAATGATGCTTGACTTCGGTGATCTAACGAGTATATTCAGCATGGTATGGCCGTTGGCAAATCCTATTGTAGAAGTATATTGTTTTGAAGATGTAATTAATAATGATATTGAAGTGATAATTAAAAATGCAAGAGTATCTCGTGGATCGGGATTTCACGACTTTTCCCCATCATTAGGCGCGTAAAGGGATATGGCGGCCTTTCACCTTGGAGATAGAGAATGTGCGGGGTGGGGAGAAAAAAGAATCCCTGTTTGAAATAACACACTCGCGTAGATATGGCGGCCTTTCACCTTGGAGATAGAGAATGTGTGGGGTGGGGAGAAAAAGAATCCCTTTGTTTGAAATAACACACTCCCATAGATGCAAATCCATCGTGGTTTAGAAAAATCAGGAATTAAATGAAAAAAAAATTAAAAAATAAAAAGAGATAATTAAATAAAAACAAAGTTAAAGTTAAAAAATAAAAAAGAAAGCAAGACGAAAACACTACGAAATTGAGAAACCGCTGCTAGAAATGATGACTAAGGGATCACGTCAGGGTAGAACTCACTGTCAAAAGAAAGCATGGCAACTGAGCCAATGCCCCAAATTTCCGAAAAATAAACAAACCGCTAATATGCAACCGCTATAAAAAAGCTCAACCATTTCTAACGCGCAAAATAGCCGATAACATAAGCTTCGCGGATATTATTACAAATAAAAATAGTACTGCTATAATAAACAACAATAACCCCGCCCCTCCTAAAGGAAACAACCTTAACTCCGCCCCGATTCTCTCGGACGCCGCTCTCCACGTATTCAAAATTCTATCGCAATTCGCTCACGATGATACTTTACACTTTCCTTCTCTATTAAACGCAATCAGATCGGCCTTGCCTACTCTTCAATTAATCCAAGACGATAACGAAAAAGCCATTACCATTTTCGAACATAACCACGCACATTGCTGTAGTTCACGTTAATGCCCGTCCTTCTCCCTAATTATCCCATATGGGTACTCTCATTTTAAGATTTTCTGCTTTCTTCTTTGCTTTTTCCGCCGTTTTAAAAATTTGACTTCTGACCAATCCCATGGGATTATTTAAACGCCGACCGTTTTTGTTTACATCTGCTCCCGCCGTTTAGCATTTTCTCCCGACTTTCCTAGCCGATTGAATGCGCCCACAGGGCTCTGCGATCTCTTGCTTTTTTCCCCCTCTTTCTGCCCTTGCCTCTCTGAGAGTAAATAGGACACTGATTCTTAGAATCCAACTGTTCTAACTCACAACATCGTGCAAAGACTTCTTGACTAAATTAGTCCTTCACGCCTGAGCTATGGCTCATCCACAATTATTCTATTCTGTGAATCTTCTGAATTTTCATTTTCCTTTTCTGCAACTACCTTTCTGAAATTTATTTTTACCCTTTTACGATGGATGTGCGGGACTCACTGTCCCTAGAAATCCCAGAAAAACACAACCTTTGCCTTTGTCAACTGAGCCAGTGCGTCTAGGACAGGGATGGGTAAACTACGGCCCGCCGGAAGGTTCTATCCGGCCCGCGGATAGAATTTTAATTTGTTTGTCCGAGGAAAATTTAAAAATAGATATTTATATTACTTTTTCGGTCGCGGGCAAACAATCGAAAAAAAAAAAAAAAAAGTTTGGCGGCCAACATAAATTTTTCTAAAATTTTAAAAACAATACACAAGTATTACAATTTAAATACATTAATGAAATGAACGAAATTGCGATTTCATTTTTAAAAGTTCCTTATATTGAGGTTCGCAATGATATGTGCTGATTCTAAGGAACGAGGCTAGAGGCTCATCTATCAGTCTACTTCTGCAATAATTCTTTCTAAGGTTCACAGTTGAAAACACTTGTTCATATATTTAAGATGAGGCAAACATAGCACTGATTTTTGGGCGTAAGATATTAGTTATGTTTTGTAGAACAAAAATAGAGAAAAGTAAAAGATAATCACTCCTTTGAAAAAAAGAAAGGACAAAATATTTAATCAAAGTAGGAAAGGAAATGGATATATAATATATAAATATATATTTCTTTTCATTTTCCTCGGGCGGCAAATTAAAATTCTATCCGCGGGCCGGATAGAACCTTTCGGAGGGGCCGTAGTATGCCCATCCCTGGTCTAGGACAATTGAAGATTGTAAAGAACGGCCCTAGAGCGTTTAGCGTTTTCCGGCAGAGTGAAATCGTATATCGGGAGATTACGAATTTCCTCATTCGGAATATGTTCAAGATTTGCATAAAAATTGTTGGCAAGTTTGAGCATAAAAATTTGAATACATGGGAGGACAAGATTGTGACGAATGTCATCATTTCTAAAGTACAAAGACGAAATTGTGATCATTCTAAGACGTTTATTTTCTAATCTATTGATATAATTTATTTGGTACCTTGCAGCAGAACCCCAAACCGGGCAAACGTAAGTTATGATGGGCCGCATATAAAACATGTAAATTATTAGTTTATTTTCAAGTGAAAGGAGGAATTTTTGTTAATAAAAGGATATAACATGCGTAAACAAACATTATATTTGGTTATAACATGGCTAATATGTTAGTTTACTATCACATAGATGCAAAGGGCGAAACTTTTATAGCGATGTGTCTAGGTCTACGAGTGGAAAATTGCATACGAACACAAAGATGAAGAAATGACCCATTCAACAATGGATAAAAAAGTGTGCAATGAACAATGAAATAAAAAAAAAAATAGATAATATTATAATCATCATTAACCGCATGCATACACTGAGTGAATAAAATATTGTAAATAATTTATTTCTATGAATAAACAGTTGCTTCTCCTTTGGATAGAAAACAATTACGTAATTTTTATTTTCATTCAGGGTGGATGACAATTTTTTTTTAATAGTGCAGAAAAATAAGGGAACTTAAGTTTAAGAACCTATTCCAATCCAAATAAATGAAGTGTGAAATGTATTGAGACATTTAGCTTAACAATGGAAAATTCAGGGTGGATGACAATTTTTTTTTTTTTAATAGTGCAGAATAATAAGGGGAGTTAAGTTTAAGAACCTATTCCAATCCAAATAAAGGAAGTGTGAAATGTATTGTGATATTTAGCTTAACAATGGAAAATTCAGGGTGGGCGACAATTTTTTTTTTTAATAGTGCAGAAAAATAAGGGGAGTTAAGTTCAAGAACAGATTCCAATTCAAGTTAAGACTCTTTCATTGTATTTGCATTAAGCTACTTTTTCTTAAATTGGGGCTTAGTTGCTATTTATAACCTAGAAAATTGTCATTCTTCCGGTAAAATCTGAAACACGTGCAAATCAGTGACCGTTAAAAAGGCGAAAGGTCAAGAGGTGTAAACAGAATCCGTTATGAATAAAAACAAAAAAAAAAAAAAAACTTTTTGGCGGGAAACTTATCTTTCTCCCCACTTTGCTTTGCCCTCGCTCATTTGTACAGAGGTTCCTCATGTCCACGTTTTGAAACAATAAAATAAATGCAATCTATTTTAGATAATGTAAAATCATATAAAAAAATTTGTGTTTTTTTTTTCTTTTTTAAGTTCCTTTATTTCCCTTTATCAACATGTCCAGACGTGTCTGTTTCCTCTACGCCTACGCAAAGACCTCATCCCCTTTCTCTAGAAATTCAAAAGTAGTTTCAACAGTTTATTCCTTCCCTGGATTTTTCCCTCCATTTTCCGCGTAACGGGACCTTGGTGATAGATGGGGCAGGGGAAAGGGGGGGGAGGAAGGGGAAAGAAAAGAATTCATTAGTCAGAAATGATAACACTCGCATAGATGTATAGGCTAAAGAAGCGGAAATGATTATGGTGGTGTGTCTTTGACTTGGGAAATTGAACACAAAGATGGAGAATGACCCATTAATTTGCGTGCAATCAACAATGAAATAAAAAAAAGATAATATTATAATTATCATTAACCGATGCGTACACTGAGTGACGAAATTATTATAAATAATTTATTTCTATGAATAAACAGTTGCTTCTGATTTGGATAGGAAACTGCCATTTAAATTTTTTAAATTTCTTCTATTTTTTTAAATGCAATATATTAAAATATTTAATGAAAAGTACTAATATTGAGTGAAAAAAAAATTACATATATCTTGGAATGGGAGAGATTTTTTGCATATTGATTTATGAGAAACATGTATTTTGGAGAATAATTTTCACAGAGTAACAATCCTATTGCAGAAGTATATTGTTTTGAAAGGTACAATTAATAATGATATTGAAGTGATTATTAAAAATGCAAGAGTATCTCGTGGATCGGACACACAACTTTCATTTCACAACTTTTTTCTTCGCCATTTTGCGCGTAAAGGGATATGACGACCTTTCACCTTGGAGATAGAGAGGGGTAGGGGGCAGAAAAAGAATTCATTAGTTAGAAATGGCACACTCATAGACAGGGCCGGATTTCGATGAAAAGAGGCCCTAGGCTATTCCACTTATGAGGCCCTTTCACCTCCCATTTTTAAGTTTGTAAATTACATGAGAGATAATAAAATACATCATTAGTGAGATATATATCAATATGTTGTGATTTTTTGAGTGTGATGTGAATGTGAATGAAACGTGTTGTGATCGGTACTAATCTTTATAAAAAATGCGGCACAGTAAAAAGTCGAGAACACTTATGTGGACATTTATTCTCAGCACCCTATATAGTACTTCTAACAATAACTAGTCAATCATAACACACAACATTTACAACGAAACAAAATTCAATAATAAAAATCTTTGACCACGAAAATAAAATATGCAATAAAAATTAATAAATGCACATCAGTGAACGTATGCACTATACTTTGGTGTAATCTAGTATATACAAACGAACAGACTTAACCAATACATTTTTATGTTTGTTTATTAGTCATATGTGTAGAATTTCTCCTTATTTTCGATTCAGTGTTTTAGTGTTTACTGTTTTTAGAATAGTGTAATTCTAATTTTTCTAACAATTTGAATGTAGGCCCCTCTTGATCTTGAAACCCTAGACTAAAGCCTAGTTAGCCTATAGGAAAATGCGGCCCTGCGCATAG